AGTATAATTCGGGAGAAAGTGATGAAGGAAGGTCGTAAAGCACCAAGCAATCAGAACAGTAGTATAGAAATGACTGTCGGCATCGCGTCACTGACATCCTGTGGGGAAATATAGGTCGAACGACGTCAATGCCCATCTCGTTTCTGCCAAGCAGGTCCATGAAGGAGGTTCATGAACCGCTGTCCATTTTTGGCGGAGGAATTGATTTCCGAGCCATCGATGAGGCAAGTGGCTGAAATCCAGGGCAGTTTCATACCCACGCAGCGAACAACGCACCGAAAGGCAAACACATGCTTCGGGGTGCAATCGACGGGAACTCTCAGTAGTAAAGTAAAAAACTTCCATCGCCTCCGGTCGATTTCATGCCTGGCAGTCGCGTTGCAGGAAGCTTGATACATCTCACGGAGGATGCCAATATGCCATCATAGGAATGCGGGGTTTAACTGTGTGAATGTGGGGTAGACCAGCCGAACCCCGAACCCCAGGTCCCTTACTAAAGAAGAACTGTAGCGGTTCGTGATTCACTGAGCACGGACCTGCAAAGGGTGGAGGTCCCGGGTGCCACGGCGCATTTGTAAATGACCCAAGCAGAACGAAGCAGCGACACTTCCAAATACCATGGTGTAAAGATACTCGACCATTACGTCCCATGCCAAGGACGCCTGAGACCTGTCTTGTCATTTACGCCCCGAGTCGCTGGCGGGCTGGTGGACATACCAGGCAAGAAGGCTGGGAGAATACTTCGCGGCCAACGCGACCTGACGAGCGGTTAGCTTCAGAGAGCAGTCGGGCAAGGCTATACATATTACCCACATACCATCAGCAAGTTCCAACCGGTCCCAACCTGTTTTCCCTCTCTTCCAGGTCGCACTTCGGCTTTGTTCGGATGAACCACGGACCTCATGGAGTTGTTTTCGGAAAGCGGGCCACCTGAGAATAACATATCTGACGAAGCATACTCATCGATGCAAAACTCTCCTCTTTCAGTAAGGGTCACTTAAACTCATCGATAACATGATAATTCCAAACTCATACAACGACCGACCTCCATAAGAAACAATGAAAGACTCACTATTGCAACTTCCAACAAACTTTCTCCTCTTTTCTGCATTTGAGTTTCATTGCCCCATCGCTCCAGGCTAGCATACCATGTTGGAGATTGCCCAAGATCCGCCCAATGTAAGAGGAAGGAGATAGTGATTGTTGTGGGGGTGCATCAAGATTGAGAGACCCCAGAGACCAGACACTTTTGGAGGGAGACTTGGGCGAAATGGACCACGGCAGAGCTAGGTACAACAAGACGCGCCTGCTTGTTGCACTGAGAACATGACTAGCTGAGGATAAGAATAGATAGAGCAACGGTCCGAGGGTATCATAGCGAAAGAAAGACAGAAAGTGGAAGAGGCCAAGACGAGGAATCTGGCTGCCTGGCACAGGCATGGAGGACGACAAGGAGAGAAAGGATAGAGAAGAGAAGAGAGAAGAACAACCTGAAGTTTTGGAACCTTTATAGCAGTCTGGTGTGCAGTTTAGCCCTTCTCCCAGCACCTGATGAGCAAAAAGGTCACGGCGACTGATCAGCTGCACAACAATCACTCAGCAGTGCAAGTCATGAGCTCAAGCACGCGACATTGGTATGTATCTTTGTCACAGATTGAAAGATGTTGCATCTCTCACATTAAGCGCCTCGGTCAGAGCAAAACACGCCCTGATATGATGTTCTGGAGATAAATTATGATTCAATTTTGAGCAACTTGAATATTATGAAGTGGCCAAAAAAGAACTGATACTTGAATTGAATGAAATTTGATCCAGAGCGCCTCCCATTTGAAAAGTAGCTCAAGTTATTTGACCACTTCTTGAGTTGACCCACATAATCTAGAAAACGGGGCGCTAAGCAGACGGATAAGAAGATGGGTGAAGTAGACATGGAGTTGGATGTTGGAGGAGGCAAAGAGAGTGGGCGGGCTGGTTGTGTTTGGCATTGTTGATTACGCACGGTTCTCCGGCTGTTGATCCTCCTGGAGACTGTAAAACACTCTGACAGTGATACCGTTCGCACTGCCCAACTGCCGTACTTAACGGTTGGGAGGCGAAGGAGAACAAGACTCCTTCGTTATCTCTAATACTTTTCTCTAAATCAACTATTTCTCTCCAGTGGCCAAAGAACAAACTTGCGCAATCCCAACGGAAAATTTGGGCTCAGGCGACCAGACAAAGTTGCAGGCATGGTGTCTAAAAAGTCGGCGCGCTTCACTTTATCTCTGCCCCCTTCGGAGGCGTCTTCTAGGTCGTCATCGCCGGCGCCGAGCGACAGGGTTACTCTACAACCTCCTCCGAATTACATTGACTCCACCCACGACTATATCAACACCAAACTGAACCAGAGTCTTCTGGAAGACGATGAGAAGCATGGACGGCAAGGAAGGGACGTATATGAATCTACTCTATCATGGTGGAGGGCTGGTCTTCGTCGCAAATTAGTCACAACTGTGCAGTGGGAGTCCCAAGTTATTGCAAAGATGCAGGTGAGTTATCGTCTCGCGCGTTTACTTGAATCTGTTCTATGTTCAAGCACATGCTGGAATGCAATGCTTCATCCACCTATTCTTTTCTGACTCGACGCGCTTGTCGAGTCTAGGTCTTACTTGTTCTGGGACTATGGGGAGGGGCGGACTGTTCATAGTCAAGTGGCCAACTTGTAATGGACATACCCAAAAGTCGTTTCACTATATTGCCAACCTTGCTGTGACGATAGCTTTTTCTGTCTTATTAATTTTTGTCCTACCGATCCCAATTCTAACTAGATCTTTTAATCAGGACAAGATTCGTACGCCGTGGCTAGACGCGTATTTCGTGTATACTTCTACTCTGGGTACACATACGTTCTTCATGATTATCCTTCCTGCATTGTTTTTCTTTGGATATGACGAGTTAGGTCGCGGGTATGTCCTAGTACCATCTAAAGTTGAACTCAGGAATTAACGTGCCATCTATTAGGTTAGTCATCGTTATTGGTATGGGGATTTATTTGTCCTCTGTAGTGAAAGATCTATTTTGTTCGCCTCGACCCCTTGCGCCTCCTGTAACGCGCTTGAGTGCGTTTATTCTATGTTAATGCAAGAATTTCGTTGACCCTTTCCCTTCCAGCTATCGGATCTCATCATCTCGAATACGGGTTTCCTTCAACGCATTCTACAAATAGCGTCTCCATTGCCCTTTTCTTTTTCGCCGAAGTACATCGCTTGGCAAACACGCCGATGACTATACCCAACAACTTGACTCCCTCACTAAATACTAACGACACATTCACTACGCTTGCTAATTCAACGATCTCAGTCATCGATAATTTGCTAACAACGGAAGACGCTGTAACACAATACATGCTTTCTCAACCCCTCTACATCCTCATGAACGTCATCCTCCTCCTATACGCCTTTTCAATCGTTTTTGGACGGCTTTACACCGCGATGCATTCTTTTACCGACTGTCTCATCGGTGTCACCCTTGGGGCCGCCATCTGGTGGGCACACACCAGCTGGGCAGGCATGCCCATCGTTCTAAGCACCACTAATCCTCTATACTACGCCTTTTCCTTCCTTGGATTAGGCACTCCAGTACCGCCTGGCGAGCTTCTCATCTACTTTGGCAAAGGCCTGGGCACCGGAAAATTGGTCGACATTTGGTTAGAGCGTGGTGGCTGGGAGGTCCCACTTATCCTCATTCCGCTCACTCTCCTTGCGGTACACTACCACCCGCAGCCCGTTGATGATTGCCCTTGCTTCGAAGATGCCATTGCGATTTTAAGTGTCGTCCTTGGTGCCCTGGTGTCACGTTGGGGAATGGTTTACAGTCAAGCTGATTCTGGTCTGAGCCGGGAAGTTGTCATGCCAGGGAGTGGATGGGTGTTCGACCTGGGTAGCTGGGTACAAGTTGAGAGAAGGTTGGAGGATGAGCTTCTTTGGTGGTCGATGGCTGCAGTGAAAATGATCACAGGTATGAGGTATTGCTACACTCGTTGACTGATCAATGCTAACCATATGCATCTACGAACAATTCATAGGCATCGTCGTTATCTTCGTCTGGCGTCTCATCGCCAAGTCGGCTCTGCATCTGATCCTGCCTCCAACTTTCCGTCTTCTCGCTCGTGCTTTCCGCCTGCCACGTCGACGTTTCTATACTCCAGCGACGGAGTATAAGTCCGTGCCATCCGAATTCCATTCCACTTCTGAGGGCGGCGGGTTTGAGCTGCACCCCATACCTAGTGTCATCGACCTTCCCAGCGCTGGAATTGTAGGGTTCGAAGTTGGAGGTATCGGCAGCGGTGTGGTCGGATCCAGCTTCCATCAGGGCAATGGCAATGGCAACAGCAACAGCAGCAGCAATGGCAGCATCTACGGTTCTCATATCAAAATGCGTTCTGGTAATGGCGTTGGTAACAGCGACGACAACGAAGACCAAGATGGACACGATTGGGAGAAGAAGAATGGAATTGTCAGCGGTCCCTCTGACAAAGAAAAGACCGGCAAGGACGGGGATTTGGGTGGTGTGGCGCATTACGACGCTGATGGTGTGTATCACTTTCCTCTCTCCTAAAAGTTCCTTATACTGATTTCTCTTTCTTTTTCTTAGTTTTGACTAAGGTCATTGTGTATGCTGGTATTGCCGTGTTAGCTGCGGAGGTCCTTCCTTTAATGTTTGACCTGCTGGGTTGGGGGTGAAGTCATGGATTGCAGCGTAAATTGATCAGTTCTCAGAGTCATAATTATCTCAACGGTTTATTTCCTTTTCTTTGGGCTCATCATTATATTCTTGCTTTAAACACTTTTCTCATCGGCGGACGAGGGGTCTACTACATATTTTGATTTATGTATACAAATTTTATGTTGTCATACTAGCCAATTTAAAGGCCTATTGAGCGGGAATTATCCAAGTGCTCGAAATAATTCGGAAGTATGTATGTATTTGAATACAAGGTTCGAACACCAAAAAAACACAGTAGCCCACCGCGAGGGTCGAACTCGCAGCCTTCAGATGCCCGATTGCCTTAGTGATAAGAGTCTGACGCTCTATCCGATTGAGCTAGGCGGGCACACCAGTTAGTTATTAGTAACCTTTATATTACAATAAAAAATTCAATCCTCAGCACTTAACACTGCAAGCATTCCGCTATCCCTCCTCAATCTTCCAGAAATTTAGGATGTCATTAACAAAAATACAGAGACATGTAAGTAGATGTGTACAGGTAACAGTTCAATTTTATATACATTGCATAATAGTTAGTATAAATCTATCCAAGCAACAGCAACTGGCAAAGCGCAACGAGTTGAGTCCAGAGGCCACTCAAACGTCCCATTATACTGTCTTCAAGCTCGAAAATTTGCCAAGAAGGCACCTTGAGCACCTTCAGGGTCTTCTCCATTGGCGAAGATGTAGTTGAGTACGCCAGCCAATCGAATTCCACCTTGAGCGAGGAGCTTCTCGATGATCATCTCCTCCGCAATCACCCCGGCATACTCTGGGGTGTCGAGGTTAAGGAGAGGTACATTCAGTGTGCTCGCCTCGGACTCCTCGTCTTCGTCATGATGGTGGTGCTCATAGCTGTCTGATTCAAAACGGACGTTATAAGGAGGTTCATCCAATGCCTTTGGCCATATAATATCGCAGTTAAGCATGTGAATTGGTTGTGCCCAGAAATGTGGGCACACGACGGGCCCGTCTGGGTTAATTTCAACCCCATCTCTTGCGAGGATACGGACGAGCTTGCTTGTCAATTCATATGCGCTCTGCCACATGCCGAGAAGACCTGAAGCTTCTACGGTAGGAGCTTCAGGGGAAGCACAATCAAGCCATGAATCGAGGTCATCCTCCCAGGGGTTAAGGATGCCTTCCCAGAGGATCCGCCTGATATATGAGTCATAGATGGTTCCCCGTAACGCTTTCTCCACTTTGGGATATGGGAGGGGACGCGAGTAGTTTCCAGGAACATTACGTAGGGATTGCGCTATTAAGAAGCTGTCCCAGAGAGAATGGAGGTCTGGTGACAACGGTAAGGAAATTAGACACCGATGATAACGAATAAGAAAGGCTTACTCGTATGCCGTCTGCCAAACAGCACCTTGACTGAATTCCCTCCTCTGTCTCTCCCGGTGAGGTGCAGCGGTTGATGCATATCTCCAACAAAATGAATTAAAAATTTCAGTGCCTCATTTGCAACAGCATCTGTTGCATCCTCGTCCACCCAAGCTTGTAGAAGGCTTGTGGTGTTCTGAATACCGTCAAGTACGTTAATGCCCGGCGATCCTGCCCAGCGGCGAGGACCAGGGAATGCACAAGTATCTGACGGGTGATCATCCAATGCACCAATGTAGTGCAAGGGGGCAGACCACCGCATTTGGTTACGGTGCTGGTCTGCCCAGGTAGCGACGGAAGCCAGATGGCATCTGCTTGTTGGCATCTCGAGAATGTCGCACAAGGTGGGCAGGACATTGGGGTGAAGGTACATCTGGGCTATGGTGGCTACAATTTCGTGTCCTGCAACAAAAATGAGAAAGACAATTAAAGATTTACATGAATGCAATACCTGCGGCACCCCATCCGTACACCGCGGGGAGATAAGCCAAAGACCCAATAGAGGCGACAGCTATCGTCGACGAGAGACGCATAGTATACGATGTGCTCTTGGTCCTGAGAGATGGAATGTAATGGGAAGAAAGAAAGACGGAATAGAGGACAAAGAGCAAATCCTGCCAACGCCAAAATCGGTGCCCAAGGCAGTAGCGACGCCAAGTCACTTGTGACAGTCGCGACTCAGTAATTGTCACGTGGTTCAAAATACAACGACCGTGCTCCGCAGCCTTGACAATGATAGTGTTATTGTCCAAGAATTTAGTTGAACAACACACGTATATATGGACTGGTACGAAGAGCAAGAAAGATGATTACTACGATCAAGATGTCAAGGTCTAGTGGTATCCGGTAAATGGGTATTATCTAAGTAGAACATGTTTATGAGCGGTTGCCCAATACCCAGTCACCGTGCCTTCTTCTCTTCCACCTTATTGTCCAAAGAAACTCCTGTAACAACAGCCGTGGGCGACCCAGCCAAGATTGCATAATCCGTAATATTCCACCCCACTGACAGCAACTTCTGTAGAAAATCCGACTGAAGCTTCGTCACGTTGTCGTATGCCTCTTGGAGGATATCGAGGGTATCCAACTCATCTGGCTTCCTCCCGTATACGACCCTGCATAATTCAACTGCATGTATCCACGCTCGCAATTGGTCACTAGCGGTATAACTTTCTTTCAAGAAGATGTGGAGGCCTATGAAGCCGCGTACATCTGCCCTTTCCTTTGGGCCTTCTATGTGTCGAATACACTGATGGTCGAACCAGATGATGTAACGTTCTTCTGCAAATAATTTCAAGACATCCCGGGGTAGAGGTCGACGCAGGACCTTCGAAAAAGAAGAGCCTATGGTACATCGCCCCAAAGCCCGACCTGTCTGCGGGTCGCGTATGGCGCCAGGTAGGTCAAAGATTCGTTCCAGTCCAGCAATTTGAGATGGGGTTGGGACTTTAGATGCTCTATACATCAACCACGCGAGACCAAGTCGCCCACGATTGAGTGATCGCATGGTGAGGCCACGGACGCCCACGTAATTGATTCCAAGATGGAGGCCGATGAGCATGAATAGAGTGGTGTAGGTGGCAAACGAAGTCGACAGATATGGGACGATCAACGTGCCCAGCTGAATTAAAAACTCTCAGTGGCAAGAAAGTGATAATAGAGAAAAATAACTCACCAGCATGCCAAAAAGTGCTAATACAGTCTCCTTGCTAGCATCTTTTGCATTGAGGTCCCCTACATCGCCTTTGCCACTGAGAGGGGTAGCAAAATGAAGCGTGATGGCCGCTTTCGATCCTCCAGCTGATATACCGCAGAGAGCCTTAAAAACTGCACTGACACACAAGGCACCAATACGCAAAACGGGAAAGGGGATGAGTATGGGCGAAAGCGTGTCAATTACGACAGAGGTATCGTTTAAGATGTCCGCGAGCAGGCGGTAGGTCTTCGCTTCAGGGTAGAGAGAAGAGCCAATGAAGTGGGCGGAAAGAATCGCTGCAAAAAAAATTGTTAGAGAAAGAAATTTCGATTGAAGAAAAACCCACTAGCTAGACGTCCGCAAGCGTCCTGCAACACCGTGAGTAGCATGGCTTGGGTAGGCGTAGCATCCGGATTTCCAACTCCAAAACCTGTACGATACATGTCCACGTCATAAACATGGCGCATCCAGGACGAAGACTGCGAACCTTGGAGAGTTGCTCTTGCGGAGAGTAAACTTGCTAAGGAATTGCAGAACGCTTGCAACGCATTTAAGACCTGGTATCTGCGTTCGTTTGCATAATATTGCGAGCTCTCCGGACACAGTTCCTACCGAAGATAATCTAACCCGACAGGCCAATGTTAGATTGAACTGTGAACTAATTCCACCGGTCAATAGGACGCACCTGGAGACACAGTGTTTGGATACCCGGCAGGAAGAAACATCTTCGTTAAGAGGTCAACGAAATACACGCGACCTGCATGGTGTGTTCCTTTAGTCGAATTCTTCGTAGAGAGGGTTGTCTGCCGAGAGCGTTATTATTGGCCAAATCTGCGAAGCCAAAAAGTGCGCACCTTAATTTTCCCTCCGCTGGCAAAGATTTCGCGGTGGCGCCCAACTTCATCGCGTTCTTGAATCACTATGGTCTCCATGGACCTCCTGCGTGTTATGAGACAGGATTTTATGAATAGGAAAACAGGAGGGATGAGTTGCAGGGGAACGCCGTTGCTGCCACAACTGACTTCTCGAACTTTTAAGCTCCGCTTTAACTCAAAGTAGGCCAACGTGAACGCTTCATGACCATTACAGTAGGGGTGAATTAATGAATCATTAAGGCATCTTATCTCCAAGCCTATACTGCTAAGTGTTAAGCCTCACATGTTGAACCCTCATATCGCATTTCCAGTCTTGGGTTCCTGGAACATTGACACTCCAAACATCAGTGTTCGATAAGAGTGGATGGAACTATCAAACGGAGTCGGAGCCTTGAAAACAATGACGACCTCGAAATTTATCAAGTATCTGGTACATAATACAATCTAGGAGAACGAGATTAAATTATTTAGACAGAATGAAAAAAAAGTAACCTGACTGACACAAAATGACCCTTCAAACCAGATTCAGGCGGTGAGGATTTGGCAAATTGGACATTTGGAAAATTAGATAGATACATCAACCTTGAATGCCTATTTCCGCGAGGAACTCCGTCGTTGTCTTCCAAAGCCGCTCTCCGAGCTCCTCGTTCAGAGCAGCCTGACTGGGTTTGGCAATCTTCCCCGTCGGCTGACTCTCCAAGTACACGCCTTGATAGGTAGCCTTGTCATCCCGGACTTTCTTTCCAGCAGCAGCGAAAACCGAGTTATATGCCCCTACCTCGGGTTTTGCAATAGCTAGGCCCACCAGTAACCCCATGAGACGGGGAAAGGGCCACGTATGTGAGAAGGTGTCGACGCCTCCGGGGTGTATGGCGATCGCTGTTATAGGTGCTGACTTGTCCTCGTTTAATCTGCGCTGGAGAGACTTCGTCCAGAGAACAAGCATGAGCTTGGTATGTGCTATAAATCTGGATAAATAGTTGGTTAAAGTCACAGAAAAGAACAGAGTTACCGTAACGGAGAAGACCTGATAAAGGCCTCCCTTTGTAGGTGGTATTGAAGTCTGATATTTCGTCAAACTTGACGGAGGCAGGAAGGAATTTGTGAACGACGGAGGACACCTTTTATTAAGTTATCAATGTCAGCCTAAGGAATGGAAAATCAATAGTGACATACATTAACTATCCTCACATCGGAGTCAGGCTCTCTAGCCGTCTTTTGGAGGATTGGGACCAAAGATTGGGTGAAAACGAATGGGCTGACATAACTAGAGGTGGATTTTGATCAAAGAATTCCAATGACTGCCATATATTTGATCACTAACTTCACGAGAACCATTGCTGCGACGCCTACAAATGTATCTCGCAATAAACACTCGGAAGCTTCCCT